AATGAGATAAATTGGGAAAATTGGATAGATTTAAAAGAGAAAATAAATCAAAAATTAGGAGAATGGTGGAGTAAAAGGAAAAAAGAAAAATTTATAACAGTAGAAACATTACAGAGAAAGCTAACAAATGCTATTATTAGAAATGATGAAACGGAAATAGAGAAAATAGAGAGGAAAATTACAAAGGAGATTGACAAAAGAAATAAGGAAAATTATATTAAGTATAAATTAGATAAGTATAGTATAAAAAGAGAAGCGGAAAGAATGGTTTTTGAAAAAAAAGTTAGAATGAGGGAAAGTTTAGAAATAGATAGATTGATAGATGAAGCAGGAAACGAGATTAAGAACACAAAGGAGATAATACAGAAATTTGAATCGTACTATACTTACTTATTTAGGATTCCACAGTCAGATGAATCGTTGAGTGAGGTAATATTGGAAGAGATTGAACCTGTAAAAAATGAGAATAAAAATAAGATTAGCATAGAGATTTCGAAAAGTGAGATACGCGAAGCGATCGAGTCTCTTCATAGTAATAAAGCTCCAGGGAGAGATAAGTTAAACGCTGAATTTTACAAGTTTTTAGTGACACTTTTTATACAATTTATACAATTTTACGGATTTTAGTGACACTTTTTGTCATGGAAAAATGATTTTATTAAAAAAGAACGATGACACAGATAAAGAGGTAATGGATTTTAGACCCATAACGTTATTAAACATTGACTATAAGGTTTACAGTTTTATTATTGCTAAAAGACTCGAGTTGTTGTTTAAAGATTTTATCGGAAATACACAAAGTGCGGGCGTAAAGAATAGAAGTATACAAAATAATATATGTTTTCTAAGATTTGTTCAGGAATATTATAAGGAAAGAGATGTTAAACTCTCTCTTCTTTCTATAGATGTAAAACGAGCATTAGACACAGTAAATCGTAAAATAATATGGGATATATTAAAAAGATATGGACTTAGTGATAATGAAATTTGGTGGATTAAACGACTCTACCAGGCTCTGAGTACTAGTATTTTTATAAACGATGAAGTATCAAGTGAAATAGAGTGTAAAATAGGAGTAAGACAGGGTTGTCCTGCACTGATGATTTTATTTACTATTTATATCGAGACATTATTGTTAACTGTAAAAAATGATAATTTGATAGAACCCATATACATACCTGGAATGAATGAAATAATAGAATGAAATAATAAAACATATTGTTCACGCAGACGATATTACATTCTTGATAGTTAATCAGATAAGTTTAAATAGGACTCTATTGAAGTTACAGACATTTTGTGAATATACAGGTATGATGATTAATAAAAACAAATGTCAAATTATGGGTGTTGTGGGTGATATGGGACAAATACAAAATGATATTAAAAATGTGGATACTATGAAAGTGCTCAGGGTCTGGTATGGGAAAGATGCTAAGAGTAAAAACATGATTGATATGAAAAATAAAATAAAAGACGAGATTAACTGTTGGTCGGAAAACTGGTTATATATGCCTGAAAGGGTTCAAATAATAAATAGGGTGATAATCCCGAAAATAATTTATAAATTATATATTACAAGTTTAGATCAAACAGAAATAAAGGAATTAGAAAAAGAAATATATTGCTATTTATGGAACAATACTTTTGAACCTATGAGTAGGAAAATAATGAAAAATAGTATTGATGAAGGAGGGTGGGGAGTGATTGACATTAAGGATTTCAAAAGCTCGTTACAAATTAGTATTATAATAAATAATTTACGTGAGAAAAAACATCCACTTTTTTTATATTATAAGATATATTATAGGGCCAATCTCCAATTGGTTCACTCGGATGGAGACAAGATTCCCTTTTATAGTGTCAAATAATAAAAAATATAAACGGTGGAGAGAAGTTTTGAGTAAAATAAAAAATGAATATAGTAATGTCATTGATTTAAATGATAAAATTAGGCCCAGTCATATATATGGTATTATACATAAACAGCATTTAAGTAGTAATATGATTAATAGTGGCTTAGATTGGAATAGAATATGGAAAAACATTTTTAGTCTGCCATCCGAGTGGATCGAGATTTCCTGGCGTATTCTGTCGAATGTTGTAATGACAAAAGAATATCTAAGAATATATCACAGAAGTAGAGACGAGAGATGTGTTAGATGTTGCAGAACTGAGTCAATTTTACACATTTTTTATAAATGTCAAATAGCTAAATCAGCATGGTCATGAATATCTAGAGTGTGGAAAACTAGAATTGAATGGGAACATGTTAAATATCAGATTAATTATTATATAAGAAATCAAAATGTTTACCTACTTAATTGTTGTATAGCACTAGTGAAACGAATGTTATGGAAGTGCAGGTGTCTATTAACTTTTGAAAGGAGAATGTGGAATGCCTCACTACTTATTATAAAAATAAAACAAGAACTTTGAACTTTGCTACAAAATTCAAAGTGACAAAGAAAAGATGTCAGAGTGCGAATTTAACAAATATTATAGAGGCACAAATGTAATATGGAAAATAGAAAATAATAGCATAAGGTTTAACGATGAATGGCGATAATTTTATTTTTTAATGTGTTCAATTAATTTTGTTTGTAAAAATTAACGTTGATGTTTGTATTATATTTTGTACTTACCGTTTTTATCTTTTGTACTTGTAATTTGATTCGTTATTTTTGTTCCGTGTTTACCTGAAATGCAAATTTATATTGTTATAAATTATTGTTATTTTCGGGTTTTTCATATTATTTTATACTTACTTTTATTGATGTTTTTACCTGTGTTTTGGCAGGCTTTTGTATTAACCCCAGTTTGTAAGGGGTTTGCAGTTGAATGTATTTTTTCACATGTGTTTTTTGCTTTTGTCAGTTTTTATAATTATGTATTTTACTAAAACTTTGTCTATTGTCGGGTCCTGGTTCAATGTTAAATTTAACAATTATTGTAATTTTCAAAGTAACAAATAAATGTGCTCTGCCGTGGTTGGTTTCGCTCCTGGTGGCATGCGGGTACAGTCGACCCCCCTATAATTACGGTTCCTATAATTACGATTCCTATAAAACTACGAAAAAATATACGTATTTTGGAAATGTTGAGTCGGATTAGTGTAGAATCGATTTAATTTTATGGAAGAAAACCTTTCAATCAGCCGTAGTCCGTAAACTTGACACGTGTCGGGCTGTGATTGGAACGACTTGTAAGAAATCGGATTCCTAATAAATTGGAACGTATCTATATCTTATAGGGGGTCGACTATATATAACATGCTACCAACATGCACGTGAAGGAAATGTAACTGGATTTTTGGCATTACTGGTCCCACAAACTTTGAAACCACCAGTATCCCGTCCCCACCTATCCCTCATGGGGGCACAAAGGGGCTTCACAATTTGGTCGGATCCATCTGGTCGGTGACAAAAGCCTATTTTGGCTTATTTTTGTGACTGCGGGCATCACCGAGGTCCCCGTTCCGGCTCGCCGCCTGCTGCAGCAGTTATAGTAGGTAGGGGTAACCAGGGGTGGTGCTTTGCGGGATCNGGGGCTTCACAATTTGGTCGGATCCATCTGGTCGGTGACAAAAGCCTATTTTGGCTTATTTTTGTGACTGCGGGCATCACCGAGGTCCCCGTTCCGGCTCGCCGCCTGCTGCAGCGGTTATAGTAGGTAGGGGTAACCAGGGGTGGTGCTTTGCGGGATCTTCGGATCCCAGCAAACTTTAATAAATGCGGTATCTGTTCTTATCAGCTTAATTGTTCCTGATTCTGCTGACTTCGTAGGACGCCAACCAGATTCCGAGCTAGCTGCTCCCCGGCCCTAGGTAAGCTACTTTTGGTATTTTTTCTTTCCTACTCTCTTCTCTCTTCCGCCAGAAGAGCAGCCTGCACGGTTTAAATGCACCGTGTATNTTAATTGTTCCTGATTCTGCTGACTTCGTAGGACGCCAACCAGATTCCGAGCTAGCTGCTCCCCGGCCCTAGGTAAGCTACTTTTGGTATTTTTTCTTTCCTACTCTCTTCTCTCTTCCGCCAGAAGAGCAGCCTGCACGGTTTAAATGCACCGTGTATTCGCTGCTCGACTGGCAACACTTTTCTATCGGCGTCAGCCTAGGCTTACGTCCTTTCTGGTGCCTTGCTTGAGCACCCCTGGGTGTCTCACTCAAGCACTTTCTTTCTAGTGCATAGGTCTCTTACGCACTAAACCCTTTCTTCCCCTCCTTGGCCGGCTGCTCTGCACCCCAGGGGCCATTTCACTTTCCACTCTTTTTGTCCTTTTTCTATCTAGCTACACCTTGATCTTGCCAAGCCATGGCAGTACAAACTATTCTTGTTCCACTGCATCCACCCCATGGTTGCCAGCTATGCCTGCCAATTCCTCGGAATTATGCGAACCATGCCGGGCTGGTAATACATCTAAAGCAAATTCATAGCACCACACTTCAATTTGAGTGCCGTGCATGTGGGTATAGGCATGAAAAGCTTAAAACTGTGAAAGCGCACCAACTTCGTGCTGAAGATTGCCGCGCCAAGATCGAGGCCTTCTCACCTCCACCAGTGCTCCCGGCAAATCGTAAATTGGTACGTATTCCAACTAGGCTGAGAAAGCCGTATACCCAAAGAAAATCCAGGGCCGCACTGACTACCTCACCCACCAGCAGTGGAAATGCGTCTTGGAGCTCGGCATCCCCATCTCCATCAACCAGACAAGTGGCGCCACGCCCAAGGAGAACCACCAGGTCCCTCCAAGCCGTCATCGAAGAAGCTCACTCACCGCAGTGCAGTCCCTCTTCCGGCACAACCAACACACCACGCCTCTACAGCCAGGTAGCAGCAAGCCCCATATTGCCAGCAACCAGCACAACATCGCAGCATCCGGCGACCACCACCACGGCAACATGACAGAGGAAAAATGGACGCTCCACGAGAAGAAATCTGGAGCCGCCTCCGCCCTGCAGTGTCAGCCAGCTAGAACCATCCAGCTCTACCCGGTCGGCAATGCCGCAAGCAGGTGGCACCCCACTGCCACCACCAGATAGGACCAATCTCTCTAACCTTACTCCTACGCAGACCTCAATTGCCACAGAAAACGACACTACGACACTACCTGCAAGACCCACACCACCTCAGCATCAGGACCCTCGGCCATCGCCCGGCGCTCTGTCAGCAGAACAACCACCGACAGCCATACAGCCGCCTTTGGACTCCAACGACAGCCCCCCTCAGTGGGTCACAGCGTGGGCAGACCGCTTCAACGCTGTGCTCGACGAAGATATGCTTGAGAGCGTCCTACATGACTTCATGAGGTTAACCTATAACATATGCGACATTCAGGGGCCAAGAAGGAACCTGAACAACACCTCGGGCCGCAATCCCCCTCTTCAACTTGAGGCCAGCAACATCCAGTGCCTCTATCGCACTAATAGGAAATGGGTGTTTGATCGCATTATCGGAGGCAAATCCCGCTTTTGCCAAGGGAACCCAGAGACAATCTACCGTCACTTCAAGGACATTAACAAAAACTGCCCGCTTAGAGATGCAACTCCTGTTCCCATAGATCCAGATCCAGCCCCTGCAACTACGACGAACCCAATCAATATACCGTTCATGCCAGAAGAAGTGGCTGTCCGTATCGCCAAGGGCCACAATACTGCTCTGGGCCCTGACAAAATCCGTTACCTGCATTGGAGGCGGGTGGACCCGAGGGGCATTATTCTTGCAGCTCTCTTTAACTCGGTACAGAGGATTGGATACATCCCCCAAGACTGGCAGGAATCCACTACTGTCTTGATTCATAAAAAAGGGGACCAAGCAGACCTAAGAAATTTGCGACCTATCTCACTCTCCAACACCCTGGACAAGCTCTACACGGCCTGCCTGGCGGATAGGCTACTAAGGTGGTGCGACACAAATAGTCGTATTTCCACCGCCCAAAAGGGGTTTTTACACTATCAAGGCTGTGTAGAGCATAACTTTTTGCTCAAATCAATTATCCAGGATGCCAGGCGTACCCGTAACGAATGTTATATAGCGTGGCTGGATATTGCTAACGCATTTGGCAGCATTCCCCACTCCATCATCTGGGAATCACTCAAATGGCATGGCCTGCACCCAGACGCCATCGCCACCATCCAGCTGCTATACGACAAATCAACTACCAGGATCCGCACTCACACTGGCCTAACTAAACCAGTTGCCATGCTATGATGTGTAAGGCAAGAATGCCCCATCAGCCCGCTCCTTTTCATCCTGACAGTTGAGCCTGCACTTCGTCGTCTCCAGGCCCTAGCAAAAAGCTACACTATCCACGGCCACACGGTTGACGCCCTTGCCTATGCTGACGATGTGGCGTTGGTAAGTAACAGCAGCAAGGAACTCCAAGACCAACTTGATTCCATCGCTGCCTGGGCAAAATGGGTAGGCATCAAATTTAACCATGCAAAGTGCGGCACTCTGGCCGTACTAGGTAAGTTGCACACTGCACGTACCAACGTATTCTCCCTCGATCAAGCGGACCTACCAAAACTTGGCAACAACGACGCATACAAGCACCTTGGGGTCCCCACCGGATTTTCGAGATGCGACACAGAGGCGTCCACCACCGATGACGTAATACAAGACATAAACAAAATCGATGCATCTCATTTGGCGCCCTGGTAAAAACTCGACGCGCTCAACACCTTCATCATACCAAGACTGTCCTTCTGCCTTACTGCGGGCACAACACCAAAAAAGATGCTTGACAAAATAGATAGAATCCTCAAGCGCGTTGTGAAAAGATGGCTCAGTGTCCCACAACGGGCAAGCGCCGAAATTGTATACTTGGCCCACAAACAAGGAGGTGCCAATGTGACTCCATCAAGTCTCCTCTCTGATATATCACAGGTAAGCCATGCCATGCACCTATTTCACTCCAAGGACAACAACATCGTCAACGTCGCACTTGGAGCCTTAGGTGACGTGGTATCACACAGGATAAAGCGAACTCCAACCACTGAAGACATCTGCCAATACCTAGATGGGTCCATGGAGGGCGACCTAGCAAACCCATCGAAGGATATCACCTCCATATGGACCCGCCTCAGGATGGCCACGAGACGTCTAAGAAATAAGATCAATATCACCTGGATCAAAGGGCCCGACGTCGTCCCCACCATTGCTGTCGATAACAACTGTATCCAGGTAAGAGGCTGCCAACACACACTGGACAAGCTACTGAAGTTCCATCATCTCCAAAGACTGACTGTGAAACCAGACCAAGGTAAGGCCTTCAAGATCACGGCCTCGAGTAAAGTGAGCAATCACTTCCTCAGCAATGGCCAGTACACCCGCTTTTCAGACTGGCGCTTCATACACCGCGCCAGGCTGTGTGGTTGCATTACGTGGCCACAAGCGCTTTGGAAATGAAGCTGAAACCTGCCGCCGATGCAGCTTCATTTGTGAAACTCTATCTCACGTACTGTGCCATTGCCCGCCGAACTTTTGTCTCATAACACAGCATCACAATGCCATACTTAATAGGCTCGTGAACGCTTTTCAATCACGGGGCGCCACAGTACAGGTGAACCAACGTGTTCCCAGTTTCCATGAGAACTGCAGACCGGACTTGGTCATTCTCCACGAAGAAACAAAAACTGCAACTGTAGTAAACATTACTACCCTGTTTGAAAACAAACAGCCGGCTTTCAATGCAGCGAGGAAAGAAAAAGGACACAAGTACCATAACCTCATACAACATCTTCGTAGCCAGGGGTACGACACGTTCTTCGGGGCTTTTATAATTGGTGCACTTGGAGGATATGACCCCATAAACGAGTCCATTCTCCAACGTCTTGGCATCGGCCGTCGATATGCCAATATGATGAAATGACTGATGGTCAGTGATGCCATACGGTGGAGCAAAGATATATATCGGCAACACCTGGGAGATTGCTCACGCCGCCCACCTCCACTGAACCCCAGCCGAAACATCATCCAGACAGGTCCACTACAATCAACACCCACCGAATCCCAATCCAACTAGGCAATCATGCCCATGTAATCGCGCCTCACCAACAATTGTAAAACAGGTAACTCTAGCTGCCAATTGAGCCTATGTTCGCGAACACTTTATATCCATGACACCTTTGTATATTTATCTACTGGCAAACGCGCCCATGTCTCTCGACAATACCTACACCTATTGTACTTATTAGTTGGCATACTTCAAGCCCATGTCGCGGTCACTCGCACAATGTGTTTACACTTTGTACATAATCATCTACTGCTTATGTAATCCCTGTAACTATTATTTGAATTTTATATAAAGGCTTTTTAAATCTGTTCTTATCAGCTTAATATCTGATATGGTTTCCATCGATATTAACCTGATTTTTGAAACTGGGTGGGACAGGGGCTCCCCGCCACAGGTTGCTCAGGCCGGGCACTTATTGCCTGAGATAGCCCAACCCCTTTGGGGGGAAAATATTAATAAAAAATAGAAAAAAATTTTTCTATGAAAAAATTTTTTTTTCTTTTTCCAGTTGGATTTCCGACGCCATCGCCACCATCCAGCTGCTATACGACAAATCAACTACCANAAAAGAGACAAGTTTTCCTTTTTTGCACTGGAGGAACCTGCCTGCACATTCTAGCGTATTCGTGGGAAAATTCGAGCCAACATCCCCACAGTTGGCCCCATCTTTACAGTAGGGTATTTTCCTTACTTTTATCTTCTTATACCCATGGAGGGTATTTCTTCTGCCGCTTGGGCGGATAGTGTTCCGATGGAGGACACTACTCCAACCGAGGATCCTGTTACTAGAATGGTAGTCGAGGCTAAGGTAGCTTCCTCTTCTGGTAGTCAGGCAACTATAGTTAGCTTAAGTAAGCCTAGTTCTAAGACTAGTCAACCTGCCCCTGGGCCTGCTTCCGGTCACATTAGTGCCAAGGAACAGCCCACATTCAAGGGGGTGAGGCTGGTCGGTATGAAGTCTGCAAAGGCTTCTACTGCTCAGTCTGGTCAAACTAGACAGGTAACTACTGCCGATAAGGCAGCGGTTCTGGTCCCTAAGGCCAGTTTTAGTAATGTAGTTATTGGGACTGCTTCTGCCACTTCTGTTACCTCATCCACTTCTGGGCCCTCAGTGTCCCAGAAAGTTAGCTTCACTGAAGTGGCAGCACATTGGGCTCCAGCAGCTTCAGTGTCTGCTCACACTAATAAGTTCTTTAACACTCAGCAGTTGAATGCTGGTGTCTCTGCACAGCATAAATGTGCCAAGCCTGCCGTCCTCAACGGCAGGATGCGCAGGGTGCTTAGCGCCCATGTTACCGTTCCGGAAGGCTCGACTGTCGAAAAGATTCTGGACGGCATTGAGCACACCCTAGTGCCAGGGGAGGTTTCACGGTTCGCGCCAATGGGCAAGAACCAGTACTTCATTGGGTTTCGGTCAACCGAGAGTTGCCGCCTTCTTGTTTCCACTGGTTTTGTGGTTAAGGATGTCAGGGTTTTCCCTATCCCCTTAGATGAAGACATCACTACTGTCTTCATCTGCTTCCTTCCTCCCGAAATGGACCTAAAAGCTAATGAGCCAGTTTGGGACCATGAGAACCGTGTCGATGCTTAAAGTCCCAGGCCGCCCGCACATTGACACGGGCACGGTGAAAATCTGTCTTGAAGTAAAGAAGCCTGTCCCTAATATCGTCTACTATGAGGGTGTGCCCCTGACTCTTGGGTACAGGGGTGTCGAACGTATCTGTCGACGCTGCCTCGAACCGGGTCACGAGCAGCAAGACTGCAAGGCAAGCCTGTGTGACAATTGTCACAGCAGGTATCATGCCGCTAAGTCTTGTCCAAAGCCATGCCGTGTTTGCACGGGGGACCACAGTATCCTGTCCTGTACTTCAAAGGGTTCTGTTGAAGAAGCAGCTGCTTCGGACAACATCGAGATGGAGGTGTCTGTAGATGCCTCTGTCCCAGTCTCCTCTCCCATCGTCCTGCCAGAGGCCCAAGCTGCCCCTACGGTCGCTGAGGAAACAGTCCCAGTCCCAGCTCTGTCTGTGGAAACTGGAAATAGTAATAAGCTATTTAATAACTTAGAGGAGGATTGCTCTAAGTTAAACAGTAGGGAGCGGTCAGTAAGTAGTGTCAGGACTAGAAGTAGAACTAGTCGTAAACCTAGTACTAAGGGGAGAGAAGATGAAACCAGCAGCGACGAGTCCGCTGCTGGGGGATCCGACTCAGGGAAGGAAGACAGGCCCAGCAAGCGGGCCTGCTGCAATAGACGTAAGAACAAGAAGGCCAGGGCTGGCAAGTCCTCCGATCCAAGTACAGAGGAATACTAACCCCCTAACTACAACATGTCTATTAAAATACGTTTAGCAACTCTTAATTGTAATGGGCTTTGGTCCATCCCCCGCCAGCCTTTTGTTGCTTCCCTTTTGCCCTCCCTACAGTTAGACATTCTAGCTTTACAGGAAACGTATTTTGAAAACATGTGAAGAGTTAGGACTTTTAGGCCCAATATTAGGGGATATAATAGCTANGGTGTACCGAGCGATACCGGTACGAACAGAGAAAATAACCGACAACACGGACCGCAAAGGGTCGAGCACAACACGATACAATTGTGACAGTTGAAACCGAAATAACGAAGCGGACGAGCGTGACCCGTGGAACACCGAACGACCAGAGTTACGCCGAATGGCTGACCGACCACGTGGTCTCGGAAAACCTTTGTTAACGGTAAAACCTTAAGAACAATATAACTCGCGTTCCGCGTATCGTACAGACATCAAACTACCAGACAATATATATATAGATACACGCTATAAAATACCGTTTTCACACAATCCAAAACCGTCAGGAAACCCGATGGAGAAAAACAAAGTCCGAAGGTTTAACAATCCAGAACTCCAGAAATAATCGTCCGATTGATATATTTCTTCTACTCACGTAGTCCCTGTGTGAAGAGGAATCTTCTGGTTTAGGGAGCGGTCAGTAAGTAGTGTCAGGACTAGAAGTAGAACTAGTCGTAAACCTAGTACTAAGGGGAGAGAAGGTGAAACCAGCAGCAACGAGTCCGCTGCTGGGGGATCCGACTCAGGGAAGGAAGACAGGCCCAGCAAGCGGGCCTGCTGCAATAGACGTAAGAACAAAAAGGCCAGGGCTGGCAAGTCCTCCAATCCAAGTACAGAGGAATACTAACCCCCCTAACTAAAACATATCTTTTAAAATACGTTTAGCAACCCTTAATTGTAATGGGCTTTGGTCCATCCCCCGCCAGCCTTTTGTTGCTTCCCTTTTGCCCTCCCTACAGTTAGACATTCTAGCTTTACAGGAAACGTATTTTGAAAACATGTGAAGAGTTAGGACTTTTAGGCCCAATATTAGGGGATATAATAGCTATTATAGCTTCTCCAGGGGTAGGAGTGGAGAAGTAGCACTCCTCGTCTCCTCCAGTATCACAGTCCAACAGTTTGTTACAGATAGTGACAAACAAATAGTTTGTTTAGATATCGTTAAAAACAAAAAATCTGCTAGGGTTGTTTGTATTTATGGCCCTACTATACCTAGCTTATGTTCAGACTTCTTCCAAATTCTTGGTAGCTATTTAGCTACCAATAGAGACATTTTTGTCATAGGTGATTGGAATGTAATCCTCCGTCCTGAAGACAAGGAAGGAGGTAGCTGGTTCCCTGATAGTATATAAAAAAACTTGAAGACCTCTTGTGTAACTTTGACCCCTAAAAGATGTGCAGCTTGCTGTTCTGCCCGGCAACTCTATCTTTACATGGTGTAATGCTAATGGCTCTATAAAGTCAAGGTTGGATAGGATGTACTCTAACATCCCATCCTCTGCTTCCGACTTTTCTGTCATACCTCTCCATTTCCAGAGTAATCGGTTCTCGGATCATTCTCTGGTAATGGCAACTTTCAACCTATCCTGCTCTTCAAAACGTAACGCTTCCGCCTCACCCCTGAAATTCTTAGGGATGAGGAATTTCTGTCACTAGTGGACAAGCTACTAACAAGCATGCTATCACTATTCACTGTCAGCCTAGAGGATTGGTGTCGGTTTAAGGGGGACGTCCTCCAACTTGCCCGCTCCACCGATAGGCGCCTTCGCCGCAAGAGACATTGTCGACTGCGGCTTCTTCAACGCTTCTTGTCTGACTGTCGCTACAGCAAGGACAACACTGGGTACATTGAAGGTCTCATCAAGCAGTCTTCTGCCAGCATCTCTGCCCTTTTAACAAGTAGATTTGAACACGCCTATGACGGGTACAAGGTCTCTTTCCTTAATACTCTGAAGCATTTCGACTTGAACTTTTTCGGCCGTTATCGCAATGATAAATCTAAATCTAATGTCTCCTCCATTCTAAAGCACGATGGCACCTTAACTTCTGATGACCAAGAAATTACCCAG